TCCCATAGAAAGTAATGCAAAACGGATTAATCTGTTCCAGACTTTTAAAAACAACCCCTAAAACAGCAATTTAACATGAATTTTGCTATCTAACAAGACCATTGATCCATAAAATGAAAGCAATAAAACAGGGTTCCACACAATCACACACAAAAAAAGAGCTGCGAGAACAAAACCGCAAAATTAATAGCAAAAACAGACAGAGCTCCACGTAACACTCAAAACGGAAGTGTGGCACTCAAAACGGAGCATGTTCGGCTTCCAAAAGAAGTTCGCAAACTGGAACACTTACTTCCGGGTTTGCAGTGTTTGGGTTCCAAGTTGTTTGAGTGCCAAGGCATTTGAGAACCAAGGTGCCACTGTAAATATCAGGGATAACTTTCCCTATCACATGAATGGGAGGTTGCCTGCTCTTGATGGGGTTACACACTCCCTCTGAAAGAGCAGGTGCTTAGCTTGGGGGTCCTCCTGGACCGGGGTCCCCAAACTAAGGCCCGCGAGCCAGATAAGGCCCAAGGGACTCTTTTATCCGGCTCGCGGCCAACTCTTACCAGCGCTGTGCTGCACGGCTGCCCACTTCCGACCCAGATGTGCACCGGAAATAGCTTGTGCGCATGCGCAAGCAATATTTGTGCATGCGCAGGCATTATTTTCGGTGCACATCCGGGTCGGAGGAGGCCCGTGCACATGCGCACAAGCTATTTCCTGTGCTCCTCAGACCCGGAAGTGCACCGGAAATAGCGTGTGCGCGCGCGTATGGGCACGCGCTCCCCTACCATCCGGCCCGCCGCGCAATCGGTGCTGGAGACACCGGCCGGAGGCGCGATAAGTTTGCTGACCCCTGTCATGGACCCTTTGCTGTCGCTTGAGGCTCAGATGGCCTCAGTGGCCTTCCGTCAGCTTTGGCTGGTGTCCCAGGTGCGCCCTTATCTGGACAAGGATAGTTTAACTTCTGTTGTCCATGCTCTGGTTAGATTACTGCAATGCGTTATACATGGGGCTACCCCTGAAGACTTCAGCTGACCTGACCGCACTGGGTGCCGATTAGTTTCCGGGCCCAATTCAAAGTGCTGTTTTCGAAACCGATTCTGTATTTTGTGTTTTTATCTTGTATTTTTATGCTCCTGAAAAGGGCCCTGAGATCTGTGGGTGAAGGCTGGAATACAAATAATAATAAACAGAAACAATAAATGAAAATGACCCTTTGAATCCCTTTCAACTCTATGAATCAGCTGGGTTCTTCTCTCTTTTAAAACGTTTTCGGTAAAGTTCTGAAGTTTCCTTTTGTAACGTGTATAAAACAGAGAGAAGGGTTATAACAACAGATGAAAATTTTGAAAATGAAAAACAAAGCTGTCAAACAGGGATATAGGATGAGTACAGTTGCTCATGAGTTAAAATAACAAAGGCCAAGTGGGGAATATTTTTGCCAGGCTGTGATGAGTGTTGGCTCAAAAATCAGGACATCACTGTATATTCAATTGTAAAAAAAGTGCATGCATTTTCTAGTCCCTGCTGAAACCTCAAATTATCCCTTATAGCTAAATTCCAGAGTGAGTGATAACAAGCACCTGGTGTAAGATTTGGGGCTATTTTCCACTGAGAGGATCCCAGTTTTTGGCCTGACTGTGATTAGCTGTGCTGCTTGCTTTGCAGTGGGTTGAATAGATGGCCTTTGGGTCCCTGTCAGCTGTGCAATTCTATGATTAGTTGGAGGTTTTTAAGCAGAGCTTGGCTGGATAATAATAATAATTATTATTATTTATGCCCCGCCCTTCCCAGTTCAGAAAACTGGGCTCAGGGCGGCTAAGAACAAATTTAAAACACTTAATTGATGCAAGAAAAAACAGCATAAAATACAGTATAAAACGTGAATAACAATAAATAACAATAAATTCAGAATAACAATAAATAACAATAAATTCAGAATTCAAAAATCAATTTAGGGGGGAAATCCATCCAATAAGCCAGTGTTTCCCAACCGGTGTTCCGCGGCACAGTAGTGTGCCGCGAGATGTTGCCTGGTGTGCCGCGAGATGTTGCCTGGAGGGAGGCGGGCGAGGGCGTTTGCTTCCCGGAGGACGGAGCGAGGGCGCCCCCTGCTGGGCCGGGGCTCGCTCTCCCCAGAGGGTAAATCTGGATCAAATGGGGCGAGGGGCGGGCAGAATTCTGGGGCCACTGATGCCCTACAGACCCCCCAAGTCCTCCGGGGCGCGCGCTCTGCTGGGCTCTTTTCGGTCGTCATGCTTGTGGGAAGCCGCCCCTTCCCTGGGCAACGCGCCGCCTCGCGACTCCGGAGTCAGTCCTGCGGGCTCTCGGAGGGACTCGCGAGCGACGGCGCAGCAGCTCCGGGGCGCGCTCAGCCGGGCCGCCGCGCGCCCCCGCGCAGCCCCTGCTGCAGCTGCCCGGCGTGGAGCGCGACGCGGAGCCGGCCGGGCTTGGAGGCGCCCAGGTAGGGCCGAGCCGGGCGGGGGCGGGGAGGTCTCGGTCTGCTGCGGGCGCAGGAGGGCAAGCGGGAGAGGGGGAGCCGTCGGGTCTCCTGGAAGGAAGCGAGGTGGCGGCTGAGGGGGATGCAGCCCCGTCCCCAGCAACAGGCGCTCCTCGAAGTGAGGCCACAAGTCGGGGCTCGGACAGGGCCTGGAAGCAGCGGCTCCGGCTCTTGGGAGCGGAGAAGGGGACTTCGAAAGCGGCCTGGAGGAGAAAAGCCCCGATGCAGCGAGAGCGGGGAGTGTGCTGCCTTGTCCAGGCCTCCTCACTTTGTGCCGTCCGCTGCCGGGAGCAGGACACGGGGGCTCCTCGTTCGCATGCTTTCCCGGGTGATCGGTGAGGGTTAGGGTTAGGGTTAGGGTTAGGGTTAGGGTTAGGGTCCCTCAGTCCCTCGCTTTGCTGCCTCCTCCCCCCCACCCCCAAAGCTTGGAGGTTCCCCGGCAAGGGGGAGGAAAAAAAATTGAAAGTTACACTTTCGTGCGTCCCTCCCGGCATGACGCTGCGCGCTGACGTCACGGGGCTGTAATGGTGGTGTGCCTCGATATTTTTTTCATCAAACAAGTGTGCCTTTGCCCAAAAAAGGTTGGGAAACACTGCAATAAGCATTAGATGATCACCAGGGCTAGGTGGCTAAATTAGTCCTATTTGGGCCAGTGAGGAGACCAAGGGAGAATTAGCTACGAGATCCCAGAGCGGGTAATCTTCATAAAAAGGGGAGGGGGAGGGAAGGAAGGGGAATAAAAGATCAAGCTAAGTTCAAGTTGAAAGCCAGGCGGAATAGCTCTGTCTTACAGGCCTGGCAGAAGGAGGTTAAATCCTGAAGGGCTCTAGTCTCATGGGGCAGAGCATTCCACCAGGTCGGAGCCACCACTGAGAAGGCCCTGGCCCTGGTGGATGATAGTCTGAGTTCCTTAGGGCCCGGGACCTCTAAACCAGTGTTTCCCAACCTTGGGCCTCCAGCTGTTTTTGGACTACAACTCCCATCATCCCTAGCTAGCAAGACCAGTGGTCAGGGATGATGGGAATTGTAGTTCAAAAACAGCTGGAGGCCCAAGGTTGGGAAACACTGCTCTAAACTATGATTATTCATGGACTCATGGACCTTAAGGTCCTCTGCGGGGCAGACCAGGAGAGGCAGTCCCGTAAATACGAGGATTCTTTGGTTTTGATTAACACATTACAAAGAGTCCGACTAGATGACGCTTGGGGTCCCTTCCAACGGTACGATTCTACAGATCATTCGAGGTTGTTAAGCAGAGGTTGGATGCCATCTTTAAGCGAACCTATAGCTGTGATCCATGCATTGCAGGAGGTTGGAATAGATGATTCTTGGGGGACCCTTAGACCCCTAAAATTCTGGAATACTGAAGGAGCGTCTCCACCCCCATCGTTCAGCCCGGAAACTGAGGTCCAGCTCCGAGGGCCTTCTGGTGGTTCCCTCACTGCGAGAAGTGAGGTTGCAGGGAACCAGGCAGAGGGCCTTCTCGGTGGTGGCACCTGCCCTGTGGAACACTTTCCCATCAGACGTCAAGGAAATAAACAACTACAGTGGTGCCCCGTAAGACGAATGCCTCGCAAGACGGAAAACCCGCTAGACGAAAGGGTTTTCCATTTCTGAGCTGCTTCGCAAGACGATTTTCCCTATGGGCTTGCTTCACAAGAAGAAAACGTCTTGCGAGTCTTGCGATATCCCCCCCGCTTTCCCCCCCTTTTTCAAAGCCGCTAAGCCGCTAATAGCCTTTTAGCAGCTTAGCTGCTAATCCCTTAAAAGCCGCTAAGCCGCTAATAGCGCTAATCCGCTTAGCCGCCAGTAGGGTTGCTTCGCAAGACGAAAAAACTGCTAGACGAAGAGAATCGCGGAACGGATTCTTTTCGTCTTGCGAGGCACAACTGTATCTGACTTTTAGAAGACATCTGAAGGCAGCCCTGTTTAGAGAAGTTTTTATAACACCGTTATATATAAGATTGGTCTTGGCTCTCAGTCCGTTTCCGAGCACAATTCAAAGTGTTGGTGCTGACCTTGAAAGCCCTAAACGGCCTCAAAGGCCCAGTATAGCTAAAGGAGCATCTCCACCCCATCGTTCTGCCCGGACACTGAGGTCCAGCTCCAAGGGCCTTCTGGCGGTTCCCTAGCTGCGAGAAGCCAAATTACAGGGAACCAGGGAGAGGGCCTTCTCGGTGGTGGCACCTGCCCTGTGGAACGCCCTCCCACCAGATTTCAAAGAGAAAAATAACTACCAAACTTTTAGAAGACATCTGAAGGCAGCCCTGTTTAGGGAAGCTTTTAATGTTTAATAGGTTATTGTATTTTAGTTTCTGTTGGAAGTCACCCAGAGTGGCTGGGGAAACCCAGCCAGATGGGCGGGGTATAAACAATAATAAATTATTATTATTATTATTATTATTAATTATGCGACCCAGCTGAACTCCCTTCCTTCTAAAGTCCTGTGAACTGCCATGGTGACGACTCCTTTTAACTTCTCCCCTCTCCCCCCCCTCTGTTTTCACCGTAGTTCCTCCCTCTGACGGCAGCACCATGGAGCGGCTCCTGCTCTGCGTCCTGGTGGTGCTCAGCACCAGCCTGGCCTGTGCCCAGCTGTGCCCCAAGCGCTGCATGTGCCAGAACCTCTCTCCCTCCCTAGCCATCCTCTGCACCCGGACCGGCCTCCTCTTTGTGCCCACCGTCATCGACCGGCGGACGGTGGAGCTGCGCCTGACGGACAACTTCATCACCGTCGTCCGCCGCAAGGACTTCTCCAACATGACCAGCTTGGTCCACCTCACCCTCTCCCGCAACACCATCAGCCAGATCCTGCCCTACGCCTTTGCTGACCTCCGCAGCCTCCGCGCGCTACACCTGGACAACAACCGCCTGCTGTTGATCGGCGCCGAGCAGCTGAAGGGGCTGCCCAACCTGCGACACCTCATCCTCAGCAACAACCAGCTCCAGGACATCTCTCCCGGAGCTTTCGACGACTTCGCTGGCACCCTGGAAGACCTGGACCTCTCCTACAACAACCTGGTGCAGGTCCCTTGGGACACCATCCGCCGGCTCAACAACGTCAACTCCCTCAACTTGGACCACAACTTGATTGACTACGTCCCCGAGGGGGTATTCACTAACCTCCTCAAGCTGGCCCGATTGGACATGACGTCCAACAAGCTGAAGAAGATCCCCCCAGACCCTCTTTTCCTCCGCATCCCCGTCTACGCCAAATCCAAGGGGTCTCCTCTGTCCTCGCTGGTCCTCAGCTTTGGCGGCAACCCTCTGCACTGCAACTGCGAGCTGCTGTGGCTGCGGAGGCTCACCCGCGAAGACGACTTGGAGACCTGCGCCTCTCCGCCGGACCTGCTGGGGAAATACTTCTGGACCATCCCGGAGGAGGAGTTCATCTGCGAGCCGCCAGTCATCACCCGCTACACCGGCCGGCTGGTGGTGACGGAAGGCGAGGAGGCGGTTCTGCGGTGCCGCGGTGTGGGCGACCCTGAGCCCTCCATCCACTGGGTCTCGCCGGAAGGCAAAGTGGTGGCCAACACCTCCCGGACGACGTCCTACGAGAACGGCACGCTCGAGGTGCTCATTGCCACCGTCCAGGACACCGGGGCCTTCACCTGCATCGCCTCCAACGCCGCCGGCGAGGCCACCACGTCCATCGAGCTGGTGGTCAACCCTTTGCCGCACCTCGCCAACGGCACAGCCCCCAAGCTCCCTGAGGCGGCAGGGCCCTCGGATATCTTGACTCCGGCTAAGGGCGCCCTCCCCGCCGGTGCCAACGAAACGGGGGCCTCTCAGGACAAGGGGGTGGCGGCCTCAGAGGTGTCTGCCTCCTCAGTGCTGATCCGCTGGTACCCGCAGTGGCATGTGCCCGGGATTCGGATGTACCAGATCCAATACAACAGCTCCTCGGACGATACCTTAGTGTACAGGTGAGCATCGCGGGGTCTCCGTAAGCGGCCGTTCTTGTTGAGAGTCGGGCAAGATCTCTGGCAGTTAAATGAGGAGAGGCAGCATACAAGTGAGAGGATTTAGACATTAGGAGAGGATATATATATATATATACAGTGGTACCTCGCAAGACGAATGCCTCTCAAGACAAAAAACTCGCTAGACGAAAGGGTTTTTTGTTTTTTGAGCTGCTTCGCAAGACGATTTCCCCTATGGGCTTGCTTCGCAAGACGGAAACGTCTTGCAAGTTTGTTTCCTTTTTCTTAACACCATTAATACAGTTGCGACTTGACTTCGAGGAGCAACTCATAGCACGCGGTGTGGTAGCCTTTTTTGAGGTTTTTGAAGACTTTGGTGATTTTTGAAGCTTTTCCAAAACTTTCCCGACACCGTGCTTCGCAAGACGAAAAAAATCGCAAGACGACAAAACTCGCGGAACGAATTAATTTCGTCTTGCGAGGCACCACTGTATATATTTGTGTGTGTGTGTGTGTGTGTGTGTGTGTGTGTGTGTATGCTTTTACCGAAAGATTTTCATGGATAAGAAAGGTATCTATATAGCACCTCTGTTTTTCATTCATAGAGTCGCATTTGATGTGAGACGCTGTTCACATAGTCGAAATAATAATAATAATAAATTGTCTAGTAGCACTTTAGAGCCCGACTACCTGACTAAGGGACGCGGGTGGCGCTGTAGGTTAAACCACAGAGCCTAGGACTTGCCGATCAGAAGGTCGGTGGTTCGAATAGCCGCGAAAATTGTCTTGGCTTCTTTGCTCTTGGGGGCTGGGGTGGGGGGAACCCGGGCTTCCCCCGGCAGCCCCAGCAGCTCTGGGAGAAGCGGATTTTTTCCCTTGATTTCCCCCTCTAAAAATTAGGTGTGCCCTATGGTCCGGTGCGCCTTATGGAGCGAAAAATACGGTACGTTTTTGGGCTGTGACCCTTGCACATCTTCCAGTTCCGAGATTGTGGGGAGGTACAAAGTTATTTTGGCACCTGTTTCCACCGCATCATTTCCCCCTTGCACTGGTGAAAGGTCTCAGAGACAAGGGTCACAGATAGGACATGGCAGACTACTGAGACTGCAAAAGGTTAGACAGAGGGCAAGATGTTCAGACAGCTGTGGCCTTATCTGTGAGGGGGAGTGTGCTCCACACCCCAAGGTCACACATGCAGACAGCTGAGGCTGCCCACGGGCGGGAGTGTGCCCCGCAACCCAGTGATCATTCCTACGCTGCGTCCTGTGGCAGTGAGTTCCACGGTTTAACTCTGCACTGCATGAACAGGTTGCTTCTTTTACCTGTCCCGAATCTTATTCGAGGTGACACTTTTTGCAACATAGAGGAAAGCCCTTGCCCTTTCTTGCCATCAGCAGAAGGTCAGGTTTTTCTGCTTAGAGGCACAGAAGCTGTTGCTGGCGAAAAAACTGCCACGCAGTCAGAACCTGTGGGTGCCCCACGCTGGCTGAGTTTCCCCGAAACACGGCTTTCCCCTTTCCGCCGTGCGCGATTTCACCTTGGCTCCGCCGACCGCGGCAGCCTGCGAAGGAGAGCAGCGAGTACCCGTCATGCTTTGGGTGCCCAGCTCCAGCCTTTTGAAGTCGGCCTCAGATAAAGTTGCTGTTTTACCTTCTGAAATCCTCCCCTCTGGAGGCTGAAGGAGAATAATTCATAAGCTGCCGGAGCAGGGGAACCACGCTGCGATCAGTGGAAATCTGGTAGCGGGGGAGCTCCGGGGTCCCTTTCATCTCAAAGACATCTCCGTGTTTGTGATGGTTTATCCTTGCCGGAGGGGAAGGGCAGGTTGTGCGGTCAGCGAGCTGGATTTTTGGCTTCGGTCAGCACTGAAAGGATCCAGCAAATGCCAAGAACTGTGGACAGGGCTATGCTGTGGAACACTTCTGAACGGCAGTTTCTGGAAACCCCGGGAGAGGAGAGTGTTCCTGTAGTCGTGTCCTGCTTCCCTTCGGGGCATCAATTTGGCCCCTGTGAGAACAGCCACTGGCCTGATCCAGCAGCCAGGCTTTTGAAAATTTCCTTACGGAACCTGCAGGTCTAGAGGCAGTCTCTCTTTGGGATATTTGGGGTATTTGGCCACTGAAATAATCATATAGAATCATAGAATTGTAGAGTTGGAAGTGTGGGGTGTGAAACACAAGAGCAGTCAAGTACAACCTTCCCAGAGGGAACATGTTTGCACATGGGGAGGAATGTTTGTCCAGCCAGCAGGTAAGCTTCCTGTTTCCTTCTGGGCTGGGACAGACTTCCTCTGCATGGGACTAGGGTTGGGCGTTGCCTCACCTGTGCAGGTAATGACAAAAGCACAGGGCAGGGCAGCCATCTCTCTCTCTTTGACTACATGCATCGAAGAAGCAACATCTGCTTAGCCAAAGATGCTCTCTTGGCCTCCAGCCCAGAGAGGACAAAGGGACTGTCTCCTTATGAGATAGCTTCCTGGTGTAGGTTACTTTTCTAAGCTAAGCCTGCCTTCTGGGATTCAATTGTGAACAGAATGTGAGTGAGTAAACTCCTTTTATACTTTTATAGAAGACTGTCATGTCTTATCTTTTATGAGGGAATAAGGGGGAAATACCAGAACAGTTATTACAGAGGCTTTAGCGAGCCTGAGCAAACGCATCCGCTGTGAGTTTAAAAAGGGGAATGTTACTCTGCTAAAATTGTGAACTTGTTTACCCAAGTTGGAAAGGCTATAATCAGACAATATATCCTCTCCTGCATCCCTGAACATTCCCACAGGAAGGGACCCTGAGGATCATCTAGTCCAACCCCCCGCAATGCAGGAATATGCAGCTGCCCCATACTGTGGGAAAGTTGAGGATAGTAGGAGCGGATATATTGATTGAATATTATCCTTCCTCACTCACGCTAGTGAGCTGGTAGCAGAGTGCATTCCCCTGTATATTGCAGGAAGCTAGTTGATGGATTCGTTAGAACCGTTTGAGTTAAGCAATCCAGTCTGGCTTGTCCAGATTAGATTGTCCCTGGCAAATCCCCTTTTGTTCCCTCTTAAAAATAATAACGACACCAAAGTCTTCTTTTAGAAAGTAATGATAAGGTTGCTTACATTCACTTCACAGTATGGTCCTGAAGGCAGGCTTGAGCTTGTAGTTACAGTTACAGAGAAAGGTTCATCTTCTTGTGAAGATGAGGCCATAAGTAAATAATAAATAATTTTTTATTTGTACCCCAGCCGGGCTCAGGGCAGCTAACATCATAAAACTAACACAGTATTCAAAGAACATAAGAACATAAAACAGGCAATCAATTCATTAAAATACGTCTTAAAATTAGTTCAGAGCAAATTAAAATCTGGACAGATGGCCGTCCATGGGTAAAATTGAGAGTGGTTAATATTCTCCAGGGCCAACTGTTACCTCTGGTCTTATAAAGGACCTGTGAGCAGACTAGGAGGCCTCTTTCATGCTTGTTCTTATACAGAAAGAAAAGAATCAGACTGAACCCCGACCAAAGGCCTGGCGGAACAGCTCCGTCTTGCAGGCCCTGCGGAAAGATGTCAAATCCCGCAGGGCCCTGGTCTCTTGTGAGAGAGCGTTCCACCAGACCAGGGCCACGGCCAAAAAGGCCTTGGCTCTGGTCGAGGCCAGTCTAATCTCTCTGGGGCCTGGGATCTTCAGCGTGTTATTATTTGCAGACCTTAAGGTCCTCCGCGGGGCATACCAGGAGAGGCGGTCCCGTAGGTACGAGGGTCCTAGGCTGTATAGGGCTTTAATGGTTAAAACCAGCACCTTAAACCTGATCCTGTACTCCACCGGGAGTCAGTGCAGCTGGTATAGCACCGGGTGAATGTGCCCCCCCAGCGAGGAACCCGTAAGGAGTCTCGCCACTGTATTTTGCACCCGCTGGAGTTTCTGGGTCAGTCTCAAGGGCAGCCCCACGTAGAGCGAGTTACATGCAGAAGGAAGGATGCTCCCAACCAGGTGTGGCAGGAAGCCCTTCTGGCTGGAGCGACATTCCCCTGCGTGTCCATCCTGGGCAAACAGGAAATGTTGTATTTGACTGCTTTGGTGATATTGCATCCCACACATGCAGGGATTGAACCTGCAACCTGGTGTTATCAGCACCATGCTCTAACCAACTCTGCCCCTGGAAAAGGATATTGGCAAATCTGTCAACCGTCCCTTATTTGGTGGGAAAGTCCCTTATCCCACCGCTGTGTCCCGCTGCTGTCCCTTATTGATGATGTCCCTTAAATTTCCCGGGTTTCAAAGGAAGCAGCTCCTCTCCCTCCCTCCCTGCCGGCCATAGAGGAGGGAGGCTCCAGCTGTGTTGCTTGGCTGCGTTGCTCACCCAATAAGGAGTCTAAGAACGACTGGGGGGTGGAGCTTGCATGCCTTGTGCTGATCAAATCGGCCGCCTTGCCTGCGGACTCGCCTTTGCTCAGCGCTTCCCAGCGGAGAGGGGACGGTGGTTTCCCTTGCTGCATCCCCTTTGCCGGGTCGCTGAGCTGGGGGAACCACCGCTTGAGGCTTCGTTTGGCTGCTGGTTGACTAAAATCCCTTATTTTGGTTGCTGATCCCTTATTTTCGAGGCTGCTGGTCCCTTATTTTCAAATCTGTAAGTTGACAGCTATGGATATTGGACTAGGTGGGCCCTTGGCCTGAGCTAGCAACCAGACTCTTCTTAGGTTCTTATGGAGCCTCCAGGCATTGAGGCAGTCTATCTGGATCTCTTGGTTCTTAAGGGTATTTGGCAATTGTGAGAACAGGATGCTGGACGAAATGGGCCATTGGCCTCATCCAGCATACAGGTTCTACCCATGTTCTTATGCTGTTGGCATATGCCAAGATTTGAGGGGCAAACGCAGCAGTTCGGTTTCCGAAGCATCTCTGTCCCTTAAAAAAAAGAAAACACAAAGCTTCTAGTCCTTAGGTTTGCAGAAGCAGGCTTTGAATCTCGGAAGCCCTGAGGAGGAGCTGTTTATGTAAGCTTCGTGGTTGGGGGTCAGGAGACTGCGGTTCTCCTTCTCCTAGCGC